GTTGCTTCTCTAGGAGTTCCTCCAGCAAGGGGAAAAAAAAAACACCAAAAAAAAACTTATCCATCATTGGCAACTATATAATAATAAACAAATACCAGATTTAGAAATATTTCAAAAATTTCTTACTGTTTATAGTCAGTAATTCAAGTTCATGGCAATAAGGAATTTACTAATCTTTGACTTTTCTGAGATATGAAAGAACATAGTATAAAAAAGTTTTTAGGTACACACATAAATATTACAGAAGAGTTCACTGGTTAAAAACAAACAAACTTTAAAAGCCATTGTCAATCAACTGATAAAAACCTATATAATGTCAACCTTCTACTCACTCAATTCAAAAATCTAACTTGAGATATCAACACATAAACAAATAACTTTTTTCCCCCATTTAGACCTAGAGAATCTAAAAAGGGTCATCTTATATAAATAAAAACAACAGAACATAACTTGGTGCTTTAAGCACAAGGAAAAACATTTCACTGAAAACTGCAATGGAGAAAGTCCAAGTTCTATTCACAATTGATTAAAAATTAAACCCAAACAAAAAATGTCCAGAAACTTTCATACTAAACTATAATAATTTCAATTAGAATGAAAATTTCTAGAGAATTATCTTAGAAATTAAATGGAAAATACAATGAGCTATTTTCCAAAAACCAGACAATTTATTTATGCAATTACCCGTTTTCATTTTACAGTTGTTATGCTGGGGTTTTTTGTAATGAAATACTGCTACATTCTTCTCACAGTTATCAAAAGTATAAACCTAATCAAGATGCTACAGAAATAAAATATATACTTAACATTTTAAAATGTTGCTACTCTTTGAGAACAGGGTAGGGAAAAATTTTCAAGTAGTGTCTGTGATTTTGATATAGGCTTCATTAAACTATAACCGTTGCCTGGCTTATAGTTTTTATATCTCTTCCTAGGCTATGTACATGTATATACACATATATGATATATTAACTTCTTGGAACTTTTTTGACTTCGAGTGCCAGTTTTTTTTTTTCTGGTGAATGTAAGTGAACTGATATTGCGTGTTAGAGAATATCTGCACACATTTATACATAGCTACACTAACAACTGAGGCCTTTCTCCCCATGTTGGGATCTTTTTGGTATTGAAAGCTTATATTCCCATCCCTATAGTCAGAGTTAGCAATTGCATATAGAATCTCAAGAGGAAATTTCATAAGCACCTCCACCAGAGTCTTTGATCCTCATTTTGGAGAAAAATCTAAGGCCATCCTCCTGGCACTGGAGACTCATGTTCATATTAACTAGCTAATAGTTTTTATACTTACATATTTAATTTCAATACTCCCTTTTTGTTTTATTCTCAAAACCAAAGAGATCTCCCCAATTATTATTAACAAATACTTGTTTACCATTAATATATAGATTTAGGAGTCATCTGCACAGAGATGAGTTCTGATGAGATCATTGAGAAAGTGTAGAATGAGAAGAGAAGGCCTAGCACAGAGCCCTGGGTTACACTCACATATCATAAGTGGGACACAAATGATGATCCAGCAAAGGAGAAAGACCAATCAAGTAAATATGAAGTCTAGGAGTGAACAGTGTCATGAAAACCCAGGGAAAAATGAGGATTCTGAAAGGAGTGGTCAGCACTGTCAAAGGCTGCAGAGTTCAAGATTAGAACTGACAAAAGGCCACTCAATTTAGAAATCAAGAAATCAATGAAAACCTTGGAGAGGGCAGTTTTAGATGACTGAAGAAGACAGAAGCCAGAGGACAGGAAGGGTTGACAAATGAGTGAGTATGGGAACACAAACTATTTGCCTGCTTTAAGGCAGGTCTAAGCTCTTTCACTACAGTTACTAATTTCACTGAACTTTAGTTAGAAGAAACATCAAAGGACATCTATTACAACTCATACACAAACAAGTATCTCCTCTACATTATACTTAACAAATAGTTTTTGCTTAAAGCACCTTAATTGAAGATCTTTAAGGAGTAGGAATGCATTGTGTCCTCCCATTTCCACCTGTCTCAAGGCAGACCATTTTACTTTTGGATATTAGAAAGTTTTTCATTATTCAAACCTAAATCTTCCCTGTCTAACTTCTGTCCCTTGTTGTTTGTTCTACCTACTAAGGCCAAGTAGAACAAAGCTAAATATATCCTTCCACATGACACCCGTTCAAATAACTTGAAGACAACTTTCATGTCTCCTTTAAGTCTTCTCTTGTCCAAGCTAAACATCCTCAGATCCTTCTCCCAACTCTCATATGGCATCATCTCAAAATCTTTCACCACTGGAGATGACTTCCTCTGGATAGCTTCCACTTTGTCTATCTACTTCTATAAATATGAGTCATACCAGAACAAACTACAGTGAGACTATTGTCTTTGTAGTCCTAAACACCATGCTCTTCTTAATGTGACTTTTCTGGTTACCATATTATACACTGATTCACTTGGAGTCCACTGACAGACTCATTTTTAGTCCATCCATCAGATCTTTTCAATCTGACACCTAGTCATGCTTCTTCCATATTGCACTTGTGAAAATGATTTCTTAAATCTATGTAGGATTTTATATTTGTTCTAATTCTATCTTAGAATTATGATTCACCCAATTACATTCCAAACATTCTAGGCCTGTAAGATTTTTTTTTATCCTAACTCTTGTCATCCAATGTGTTACTATTTTCCTAGGTTTGTGTCATCAACAAATTTGATATGCATGACATCAAAGTCTCTATCCAGGTCATTTTTGTTGTTGTTAATAACTTGTTTAAAAAGCTCACTTGGAATTTAGTTACATGCTTTTCATTATTGCATCTTTTCATTATTGTTCTTTCATCTAATTTGGTACTGATTTTGATCTTTGCTTTAAGAACTTGGTGGTCAGATTATATTCAGATGGCATGTTTGTAACTGACTTCCACATCAATAAAAAAGTCATTCCCAGTCAGTTAGAATATAATTAATTTCCTTTTTTTGAACATTATTTGGTGCTTTCCCTGTTCAGTTCCTTTGAACTCTCTTCCTGTACAAAGTAATCATGACATATAAGCATTAAAGTTTTCTGTTGGTTCGAAGTCTCTGGCCTTTTTATTTAATAAACTTGAGCCACATTTTGTAGTATATTTTTCATTGTACTGCTTTAATCTCCATTTTTGTACTGAAGTCACTGAATGTTAAATTATATGTTGATTAAAGTTGATGGGTGTTATTGAGTACTTTATGAAATTTTTGTACCTATTCATCATTGGTAATATTGGTCTGGTATATAAGGTGGCCATCATACCACAATGAGGCATAAGAAAAGGATGTCAGTTGAGAAATCTTCCCTTAATTGCTTCATAAAATAGCTTTGCTAGAACTGAGGCATCAGTAAAATATTTCAATTTGGGCCTATTGTTCTATTACTATATCCCAGCTCTACGATGACCACTGACTCATGATAATTCTCTCTAACTCTGGAGAAACTCCAGATGGTAACCAATTTTTGTTCTTGATAGTAGAGACAGATTCACTTTTACTTCCCTAGGATAAATCATCACTAAAACTTTCCCCTACAAATAGGAAACTGAGAACTAGTTTATGTGGGGCTTCTAATCATTCCAAAAGTTTGGGGTACATGTCCTTTTCCACATAGATCATGTCCTAAAAATACCCTATAAAGCCTGTAAATCCTTTAGTGTGGCTAAGTGGAAAAAGTATTGCATTTGTAATCAAAAAACCTGAGTTCAGATTCTAGCTTGCAAGTATGCTTGTGTGGCCTTATAAGCAAGTCAGATAACTAATTTGAGTCTAGGTTTTCTCAACTGTGATAAAAAGCAGTTGGATTAGATGATCACTAAGGTACTTTCCAGGCCTAAATCCTATGATCTTAAGGAATAACAAATCGATTATCCAGCTCCTCTGCCCATCCTATCATTCTACCACCCCCCCCCAAAAAAACCAACCCAAATCAGTTAATAGTATACATTTAGGAAAAGTAATTTATATTTTCAGCATAAATTGAACAGATGGTAGAAATTCATTATATCAGCCTTAGAATCTATGCTATGGGTCTAGCTTATTACAATGATCACTTTATCTATTAGTAACTAAATCTCTTGGCTGAAGTTTATGATGGGCCCATCTGACACTAAATCTTACTGAAAAGAGAATGATGTTGTCACAATTACAATATATATTCAGTTGGTTTTTTGATTTCATTTTATAGAGCTATCCTTACTTAGAATATCACAAAATTTCATGAACAGAACTTGGGTGTTATTGAAAGCTAGGATTAAGAACTTAAGTTTCTGTGTCTAAAAATACAAATCTGGATTAGATTATTTACCTCTAAGCTGCCTTCTAGATCTAAATGCTATGATTATATGACTGAATTTAATTGCAAGTGTTTTATACCATTACCTACAGCATAAGGGATTATGAATAGGCCAACATTACAAATTAGATAAAGTTTTCTCTAATTCCATTAAAAATGAGAATTCTATTGTCTTTAACCCTTAATTGAATTCATAGATAAAGAATGAATTTGTGCTTTTACTGTAAACTTACATGACTTTTTTAACAGTCTCTTTGGGAATTAGGAGATAATAAGATAATAAAATATTAATTTTGTGATAACACAAAGACTTGTAGATGATTATTTTGGTAGATTTCAAGGTCACTAAATTATTTGTAATTATATTAAAATAAATCCTCATTCAATAAGTAATTCCTTCTCAAACTAGTTATATTTACCTTAATGAAAGTAAATACGAATAAATGCATACTAGAGTTTGGGGTTTGTAAAAAAAAAAAATTAAAAAACACATAGGATTAAAAATTAACAAAGACCACAATCCTTTAACAGAAAGCCTGGAAACTTTAAATCTAGATCTAATCTTTTCAAACAATTCAGATGTCATGTTAAGGAAGTGGTTATCTTAATTTTGTAGCATTATGCTCCTTTATTTTATAGCTATTCAGTGGGGAAAATATACCTTATAAAATTACTGTTTTCCTTACCTGTGTATACAGTTTTTACTCTCAAGATACGCCATACCAGAAGCAGCATCTAATGAAAATTTCACTAACTGTTTGGGTTTTAGTTCATCTTTCTTCTTTCTCAAAAAGGAAAGGAAATCGCCTCCTAAAGAAATTGACAGATAGACAATGAGACATGACAATGAGGATATAATTTATTTCCCATTACTACCAGCCATGATTTTCAACCCATTTGCTTGAGACTAGTATTTAAAAAAAAAAGCATCACATGTAATCAGAAAACAGTCTCCTTACATGGTCATAAATGTTGCTTTAAGTGTTTCATACTGAAAGAAACACTAAATAAAATCTCTTTCTCTCAGTTGTACATACTCATCCCAATTTGCCTCCTGAAGAATTTCTAAATAATGTGATGTTTTCAAACATTAACATCATTAAGTATATTGCAGGTCAATTAAACAAAAACTAAATCTGATATTTTAGGTGAAATTTTAGATATTTACTAATATGCAGTATTGAAATTATGTTATACTGTACTTTATTTTGTCAAATATTTTCCAATTATATTTTAATATGGTTCCATGTCACTCAGGAGTAGGCTACTTGACACCTCCATTTTAGTTTTATTTAAGTTCTGTGATTGATGAAAAAAAAAAATAGCTGCCTTCTAATTCATCCTCTCACACGAGGAAACTGAAGCACAGAGGTTGCTTGCCGAAAGACACATGGGTGACTAAGAGCAGAGTCAGGATTTGAAGTTGCCTTCTGACTCCAAATTCTAGGCCCTTGTTACTGTACCAGTGCCCATTACCACACTACGCTAACTGAAACAGCTTTTCCCCATCAGCACCTTGGAGATCAGGCTCTGAAAAATGAGATTTTCCTGCCACTTCCTGCTTGTATTTATATCCCTAACACCTAGCACAGTGATTGGAACTTGGTAAGTACTTAGTAAGTACTGTATCTAAAACAATAGACCAGTCCAGAGGTAGAGGATTTCATTTTGGGATTTGAAGTTTGCAGTTCAAGAGTTGCAACCAGGTCCTTAGATGGGAATTCCTCTTGGGTGAGAGGAAACTATCTCTGTGTCTCTGTCTCTTTCTCTCTCACCACGTCTCTGATTATGTCACTGGAGAGATAAAACCAGCAAGAGAGGCTTTTGACTTCCAATGAGAAGCAATAAAGCACATCAAGGACAAATGGAGGTAGTGAGACAATGAAAAGTAGTTTATGAAGGGACAAAGATCTTCTCATAGCAGGAGTTGTAAAGCAGCTTCAGAGTGTGATGCCTCAGGACTGAGATATTTGCTAGCTATGGACTCTAGAAAAGTGCAGATGTGTAGAATGGGGCAGAGAGCTATACCTAAGGGAATCCCAAAAAGGAGAAAAAATCTGCAGTACTAGGAATAATGAATTACCTCTTCACACATACAGAATATGAGTTTATATATATATATATATATACACATATACATATACACACACTTCAATACCTCTGTAGTCTATATTTGATCATACTTTCCCAAGTTATACTAGGTGTATATGTTTTACTTCACTCTTTACACTCTGGACATCTCCTCTACAACCTTGCCTAATTTTAACACTTGGTGCTTCACTGACTTGACTGGTGACTGCTTTGCCTGAACCAACATTTCAGGAAATCCCAGCCACCATGCTTCACTTCATTCCCTTTTCTCTGGACATCTCCAAAGCCTTGACAACTATCTTACTCTCACAGGTATATCCTTCTTCCCCTTTCAGTTCTAGAACCATGAGTAAATCAACTCTGACACTGTTTCTGGGGTGTGATCAAACCATTCTTTTGTGACCCCATTCACCACTTAAGTAACTTTCAGGACCAAAGTTTACTTACCTGGCTACTACCCCTGTAAAGATGCTATCTCTTCTATTAGAATGTAAGCTCCTTGATGGCAGGAACTGTCTTCATTTTTGTATTTATATTCTTAGTGCTTAGCACACAGGGGTACTGCCCCCCAAAACCGGAAATTAGGGGGAATGCATTTATTTTTTTAAAAAATCATATTATTTTCTCCCAATTATATATTAAAAACAATTTTTAACATCTTTTTTAAAGTTTTGGGGAATTATTTTAAACCATTTATTCTTGTTAAATTTCCTTAGTAAATGCTTTTTTCTAAAAGGTAACTGAAACAACTAGTTAATTGTTAGTGGGAAGCACAAAGGTGGGAGATTATGAGCTACAGTATTAGAAACATAGTTCTTCAGGGTTACTGTTACAAAGCTGAGAGTGATAATTAGCTCCTCTGGGGCCCTAATATGCCAGTGTGAGTGCAATTTGGGGTAGTACCCCAAATGGATAGTACATTTGACACATATTTTTCTTCCATCCTCTCTTCTTTTACTGATCACATACATATCCATATCCAATGAACCTTCCCCTCTGATCCTCAAACCCTGCAAGTCCTCCTCTGTTCAAGTCCTTGGGAAAACAAGAACCACCTAAGTACAATGGAGTGTGACGAAGCTAGTACATTCATGAAAGCAATTAGGCCAAACCAAATTCCTGCACAGGGCTGGGGGGAGGAGAAGACAAGACAAGCCACTACCTATTCCTGAAGGCAAATGGTTCCAAACCAAGTCCCCCCAGAAGGAGAGAGGTTGAAAAATATCCAGTTACGGAAGAAAATAGGCCAAATAACCTTTTTGTGAGACAAATGGGGCAAATCTGGGCTACTTTTATTGGATGGAGTAGGGCATCCCAATCTGTTCCAAGCAAGAGGGGGATGGAACAAATGCAGCCCAGATTCCAACTGCGGGTCCAGGGATCAGATGTTGATGATGCTGAGTGAAGCCAAACAAATCCATGCTGACGAGGATGCGCAGACACTAAGGATGTCAGTGTAGCTCCCTGATATCCGCCTCACCTTGGTGCATGAACAACAGCTGCTGGTGTAGCAAGCTCAGTCATCAAACTCTGCACTGCCTGCCTCCAAGTCCAACTCCACCACCAGATCCCACTGTATAAGATGGTTATCTACCCCTGTTTCTGTGACACCCCATGGAGATCACAGATGCTATATGTTGCTTGAAGGTGGCCAATGGGGAACCAGTCTTGAACTGCCTGAAATTCCAAACTTTGAGGGTGCCATTGTCACTTCTGTTGAGCAAAAATGATATCTCCCAATATTCTAGGTGATGACATTAACATCCTTATCACGAGCAGATGATGCCATGAGCATGCAAGCCTGACTTGGCCCTGCCCACATGTTCCATATTTGGATGGAGGCATAGGTTAACCATGATGCAAACACCATGTCCTCAGTTGGTGACCACTACAGATCCTCCAGAGAGCAGGAATGGGTCCACATGCCCAGAACCCTCATTAGTAGGTGAATGAATTTTTTTTTTTTTTACAATTACCAGTCAGCAGGCAACCAGGCAACACTTGGAGGGATGGGGGAACCAGTCCAGGGCAAAGCTGTTAGGCATGTGGCCAGCAAAGGTAAACCGGGGCAAGGTCTAGTCCTGCTCATCCTATAAGAATGATGCCAGGAACTGGGGATCATCCACTGCCTCCAAGACTTATGAAGTGAAAACACCTCCACCTGGCCTTTCTCAGACCATATTCCTGCCACAGGGATCTTGCTGAGACATGCAACCTAGACACAGTTAAAGGCTTCATAGTAGGGGACCACAGCCAGCTCCAGTTGGGGTTTCTTCTCTTCATATTCTTCCTCCGCCTCCTCATTTTTACTCCCATTGTCCTCAGAGGCCTCAGTTTTCTGGGTCCCATGGGGGTTACACATCCATATCACTAGCAACCTGTTGTAATGAGTACTGGGGGCCTGGGTCCCAGCAGTACAGAGGAAAGTCACTGTGAGAGTCCCCCAGCAGATCTCAGACAATGTTGAAGCTGAGGAATGGAAAGCCAGTCTGCATGCTATGGTACAGTGAACAGGCCTCCTGCTCCGAGCACCAGCTCTTCACTGCCCTGCAGTGGTGGGCTGCCAGATGGCTCAGCCATTGCTTAGCACATGGGACCTGAACCACTGCATGACACCATCCTGGAGCCTGCAAATTGGCCAACACATCATTTTAGAAAGGTGTTGTGCTATTCTGGAGGGAGTATTTGACTGTGATCCAGAGAATGGGAGTTTTATTCTTAGCTATTCAACTAGCTAGGTGTGTGACTTTACGCAAATCAGTTAAACTCCCTAGGTATCAATTTGCTCATCTATATAATGAGACGGATCTCTAAAATTCCTCCCATTACTAACATTCAATACTACTTTATACACCATTAACGTATAACCTGAAATCACTGGGTAAGCAAACTGATATAATTAGTCAAAGTCAAAGACCTAGAACAAGATAATTTCAGACATGTCTGCTTCTTATCTCAGACAACAACATTAGTTACTACATAGTTAAATTAGAGAATATTAATTCAAATTATGAAAGATTCTTCTATTTCCAAAAGATTAAGTGAGAGTTCTGCAGAAGCACTGTTATGGCAGTCACTACATTCAAAAGTAAATTATAGTCACTTACATACTGGTCTCAGCTCTCCTACTTACTTAAAAATCTCTTTGTGAAAAGATATTTGTATTATCTTTGTATTTTTGAATGTAAAATAGATGCTAAAAATTGCTGAATGATAAAACTTAATACTTTACAAACAGGATCAAATGAGGTAAAAACTATAGATATCGTTATTCCCACTTTACAAATTAGGAAACTGAGGCTCAAAGATGTTAAGCAGCTTACCGATAGCCTTACTGCCCATAATTGGCAAAAATGGTATTCAAACCAAGGTTTGCAAGTCCAGATTTCTTTTTGAGAAATTAAATTGAATTAAAGTATTGCTTACTCCAACAAATGCTAAAGTACTAGGAGTTACTGTCAATTAAAAATCAATCTAAAATATGTTTTAAAGGGCATATAATTTATAAAAAATATAATTTATGTCAACTTTGCAGACCTAACATGTAATAGGCACTCATAAATATCTTTTTGATTGAATGGTTTTCAGTAGCATATCTTTAAACCAATAAATATTTTTGTAAACAATAGACATGAAAGGCATGGAAAAATATTTTTGTCACTACAAATGATTAATAGAGGAGAGAGGGAGAAAAAAGCAACCTCTTTGCATCACTGTTC